CGTGCCCCGGTCCGGGAAGATCCCACATGCCGTGGAGCGGCTGGGCCCGTGAGCCATGGCCGCTGAGCCTGCGCGTCCGGAGCCTGTGCTCCGCGACGGGAGAGGCCACAAGAGTGAGAGGCCCGCGTAGCACAAAAAAAAAAAAAAAAAAAAAAGTTGGGGGGAAAAAAGAATGAGGCCAAATCCATGGTGGAAACCACCACTCGGTGTTCTATCTCTCCAGTCTATTTCTGCCTTGAGTGCCGAGAACAGGGGTCATTATTCCCTGGACTAAAACCGGAACACGGGATACCCCCTTAGCAGTTCTTAGAGTAGCACACGTGATTTGAGAAGATGGGCTGAGCTAGGAAGAAGCAGGTACCTAGTTCCTCACCGGCCGGGTGAGCACATGTGGCCACAAACACCCCTGACAGTCACATTCTTTTATTTTAAATGAACTGTTTCTGAGGGACCCTGAAGGCCCATACCTGTAGTGGCTATTAAGTCAGTTTGTGATCGTCTAACTTATGGTGCTGGCATGTTTTGAAAAGTGAAGTAGGTGTTTGGCTCTATGTGACAACTGAGTATTTTTAGGGAAGGTTTTACTTCCCTAAAAATAGGCCCAAAGCCAGTGTTCAGATATACTGTATCCAGTATCCATGTCAACTTTATATTTTTCAACAGTAAGAATGTTCTGATGGATGTCAACTACTTTCCAGAAGTGAGAGGTGCTGAGCCAGGAGCTGCACCTGTCTTCTAACTGTTAGAGGATTCCAATCAACAATCAAAGGAAGAGAACACACACTAGTAATCGGTGTGCATTTATTTAAGGCCCATATTATTGCACCAAAAGTACTTAGCTTGGCCTCAACTAACCAGATGTTTTCAGGTGTGAGCATTTCTCTAGTCTAATTTTTTCTGTTAAACGTAACTGTCTGGGATTCTACGTCACGTTACTGACACACCTAGTCATTAAAGGGGTTAACTTTAGTCATTCACTGATTTTAATGCTTTCGTAAGTTTTTCAATAAATGCTTCTCAGGGGCCTGAGCAGCCATGGCCGGGAGAGGGAGGAGGTCAGAGTTACCTCCAGGGGCGCCTGACCCCCCTCTGAGTGCGGCAGGTCCCAGTCAGGAGCACAGACACAACGGCAGCCCCCGAGCATTAACTGAAACCCTGGAGAGAGTTACCACCTAGATTTAGGGCAGCCGAGGCCAAACCAAACCACCAATTACCTCTTTTCTTCGAGGGTGAGTCGGCTTTAGCTGCTGGTTTAGCTTCTGAGGGTGCCTCGGCGAAGGACGGGGGAGGAGGGTGGTGGGCATCTGACCCCTCGGGGGGCTCCCGAGGCCCCGATGCCAGGGCTGCTCCACTCCTCTGCTTCCCTGGGGCCCGGGGCTTGGGCTTCACGATGGTACAGACCGTCTCCCCCATGGAAGCATCCTTCTCAACTTCACTTAGGAGGTTGTCCTCGCTGGGAATTACCCGAAAATGGGTATTTTCTGATGGAGTAATCATAGCTGTCCTAGATCTCTCTCTTTTGCTGACCTGAAACAGGCGAATTGTTTAGAAATTAAACTACTGTCAAAGGTGTTTGTTAACAACGTAACAAACGTTGTGGGCAGTTTGTTACCGTGGGCAGTCAAATCTCAATGCGATCACATAAATAAGCAAAATGTGTATTTAAAAAAAACTAGAGGGTCTAAACATTTTTTTTTTCCCCCTCTCAGGAAATGCATCTTTCCAATTCTTCCTTCTTTCGCCCTGAGCTGGCAAAAAAGCTTTCGTAATCAATTTCCTATTTTAAAATTTCAGTGGAAATTTTAGTTTCCTTTAGGAACTTAAAAAATTTTCCTGATTAAAATGTTAACAAGCAACATTATTTATGAAATAGGAACACACAAAATAATGTTGGATTCCTTCCGCTATAAATATAGCACAAACGTTATCAGAGATGTTAACTCGGCTTCGCTTATGCGACCACACGAGGGCACCACCACCACTTATGTTCCTGTGACCTCATCCTCAACTCCGCAGGCCGGCGAACCCTCTACCTTGGTGGACTCCGGGAACCCTCCCCACGTCCACTCCATGTGGGACTCGGATCTGAGCAGGCTCCCGGCGGGTTTCACCTCCAGCTCTGAGTCGCTCTTAGGACACACCGCCGGGGTATAGGGGCTGCAAACACAGGACAAAGAAATGTGATGACTCTTAATAAGTCAGGAACCTCATTCTTGCCAAGCTCAAGAGATGAAAAGAAATACAAGTTTGAATATATCAATTTCACCCGCAGATATAAAGGCTACCTTTCCACGTGAGCTCTTTAATAATAATAAAAACAATGCCAACTAGCATTTATTGTGGACTTCCCGGGTCCTCAATAATATGTATTATCCCACTTGATTCTCACAAGAAATCAATGAGAAAGGTAATTTATAGCAGAGAAAACGCATGGCAAGGTGGGTTAACATAATACAGAGAGAAACTGGATTTGAACACAAAGTGTGACTGCACGTTTCTTCACAGTATTAACCACAGTTACAGTTAGTAGTTGACACGAAAAAGAATTGTAGAGGGTCAAATTCTATGCTGATGATACAGGTCTACACTGGCCAACTCTGAGAATAAGTCAGATCAAGTTTAGGAACAAAATAATTATTGAGGGGAAAGGTCTATATTTGTGTTAAAAGCACACATTCAGTTCCTCTTCTGTGTGAGAGACGTGGAAATATCATCAAGTCGAATAACAGAAAAGCTATCAGTATATCCTTCCTTTAAGAAATGGAGAAATTTCAAGAATACTTACGCGTCTAAGGGGGACCAGTCCCCATCAGATAAGGGGTAGTGGTCTCCAGAATGGAAAAGCAGAGGCTCCTTGTACTCGTCCTCCTTTAAGGAAGCATTTGAAGATCCTCTGTGAAGGGGGGGGTGGGGTGGGGAGAGAGACAAAACAATGACATCTATGTCAGCTTTAAAATATCCCCCAATTCTCACTGACACACTGTTCTAAGTTATACAAATGAAGAAAGTCAAATGATTAATAACTAACTCTCTTAAAAGGAAAATATGAAGGAGAAGAGGGTTCACTGTTGCTACACACCGGACACCACTGCAATCACCATTTAAACATGGGATAAACAGGAGGAACAGAAAAGAAGGTGGGATTAAAAACTCCTTTTTACATCTGTTAGGGGTATTTGATTCAGAGCCTACCAGAAGAAAACTAAGGCTTTACATATATTGCGTCCAATTCTTACAAATCTGAAGTAGTAAAGTCTTATTTTAGGTATTAGGTAATCAAGGATCTACGGGAGTTTAGTAATTTGCCCAAAGTAAAAAAGCTCCCAAGCAGTTGGATTCCCAACAGCAAGCCCTTGCTCTTTTCCACTACACTCTCCTGCACATTACAGAAAATGTAAGCAAGCAAACAACTGAAGACAAGAGCGATGGCTCAAAACTACCCGAAAGACTCTTAAAAACCCGGAACTTATTTTCTTCTTGGCTGGGCCCAAGCATTACTTGAGAACTTTCTCTTAGAATCTACGTGATGTAGGGATGCGAGGAAGATGACACCGAAGTATGATAAATGCTTTCAAAATTCATTCACAGACCTTGGAACTGTAGGAGACTTAACTAATGCTAGTAAGGTTTTAATTAATTTACCCTTTGTTTTTCTTGAATTTGCAAAATTAATATAACTACCTTGCCATATAACCTTGAAAACACCCCTCAGAAGCACTGTGGGCCCCAGTTTTTCATCTTTAAGTTGGAAATTTTTCTCTTGTCCCGTCTATTTGATAAGAGTCGATGTGAGATTTATGTGGTGTGTCGTGGTGAAAGCCCTGAAAAGTATACAGAAAAGTAGGAAAACAACTCTGAAAAGTGTAAAACACTATATAAAGCAAATTTAAGAGCTTCTTACAGAAAATTCAATGTTCTACCAGGACAGATATAAGATGTGAAATGATGAGACGGTCTATCGCTTAATCTGCTAGACTAAAAATAGGGATAGAAACCATTTTATTAATTTGTATTATCTCTTTTCTCTCTTTACACCTTAATTTAACATGCTCTGATATACCACTAACTCTGACACGTAACTATTTTTCCAAGTAGCTGCATTTCCTAATTTAAGGTTTACCTAACCCTAATCTTCTTTCTCTCAGAAGGCTCTCTCAGATTAAGCTCTGGCATACCACCTCATTCAAGGGGAAAGATACATAGACTTGAAAAAGGCTGAAATCCAGGTAAAAATACTCCGTATCTTAAAAGAGGAAATTCAAATGGTATAGAAGCAAAAAGGGAAAACTGGATGCTACGAACAGTCCTTCTTTGCCAAATCTGAAAGGATAGTACAGCTTGGCCCACTACTATTCATACATTTGAAAGTGGTTTGAAAAGAGCAACGTAAATGCCGTAAAAAATATTTTATTACACATATTTTGTTTTGGGAATGTATTTCACCACAGTATATAAGGTAAGCCAAGAAGAATACAGCAAAGCAAACTGGATTTAATAAAATATTGAAAAAAGAGAGAGAGAGAGAGAGACCAGGCACCATTTAAGAATTTACAAGCCCAGGAAGGCAGGACATGGTCTTCTCTGGGCGGATCTGGACAAAAATAGAGCCCATTAGCTTAGACCCATCAGAGTGATAGAAAAGGTTGCTGATGCTGAGGTTCCTTTCCGTCCTGTGACTCATTGAAAACCTGCCAAGCACGTTCAAAACGGCACACGTGGCTGAGGACAGGCAGCCAGCAAGGCCAAGCACGACAGGGTCACTTTAAGTATGTGGCACGAGGATGTAATAAGGGAGAGTATAGATTAGAACGTGGAGAAATAGTATGAACACTGACTCTATTTACGTTGAAACACAGGACAAATAGCTGCATTAACGGTGAACAGCAGAGGATCCGCGGCCGAGCAGATGGTCTAAGGCTGGGTCAGGGTGGTTGGCGGAGGTTCAGCTGAAGTTCGTGAGAAGTGTGTCTAGAGCACTTCAGCCTTCACAGACGCCCCAGCACCGTGACTCCAAGCTCAGCTTCATTTTGTAAAACGATTATTTTTCTCATTCAAAAGCCAGAAATTACATGATGTATACAACTATCAAAATTCACTGAACTGCACACTTAGATCCATGAATATTACTGTATGTTAAGTTATACCTCAGTTTTTAAAGAACAGGGACAAAAACCAAGACAAAGTCAAAATCCGGAGCCTGAATTATTTACGTGGGATAAATCAGAAGGACTAGATAAGTTTTAGTCTACATAGCTGGCAGCAAGTACGTAAGAGATAAAGCGGGCTGCGACCAAAGTTCACCGTTAACACAGCGCTGACCCTCACCCTCAGTGTCCGATCAATCGATCTCACTGTGACTAATGATGTAAGTTTGCTTTAGGATACAGGACACTTCCCACAAAAGATACCTCACGACAGGGCAGAAGAGAGCTGGGCAATGTGTCTCCTGGATCAGAACGATGGGGAGGGGAACACGCGGTCCCAGGCCCCTGCCACTCGGCCCCCAGATCTAACTCTCTAAGTGTGTCTGCCCTGGTGGATTAGAAGTAGAGATTCCTTTCTGACGGCATAGTTGTAACCCTCCATTGCGGTTACTGCATTTCCAGCGGCTGAGCGTTTTATATGTTTGCACTCAAGACTGTGATATAGCATCATCCCACGTGAAAAGTCTCCTCCTTCCCAGAGGCTACAAGTGCCCAGGTGCACTGTTTTTAATACATACACACTTGTACATCCATCCATCCGTCCTCTGGAATGACGGACAAGGCTTCCACGCTATACTCAAGCCAGAAGCCCACCTTCAGGAGGGGAGACCCATCAGGCACAGCTCCCACAAAGCCCTGTGCGGGTTAGACCTCTCCAGCTCCCACAAAGGGGTTTTTCCTCTGGCTACACAACACCAACCTGCTTCCAAGAGTAATTTCATCTTTCTGCTGCCTCCTTCAAGGAGCCTAAATTAACCTTAATTCTATTATCAATGAAATTCTTGAAAAGTAAGGAGTTTAAATAGAATGTTATTTATCAAGTTTAGGTAACTTCTCTGAAAACAAAGTTTAGGTAACTTCTCAGAAAACAAAATTTCTTTCCTACCCAGCAGGGGCTGAGGAGGGGAAGGTATTTAAAAGCTACAAATTCCCCAAATCCCCATAATCTGTGGATCTCGTAACTGCAAAAGCAGTTGATTTCCTAATCTTTTTCTCTCAGATCCTTTAACGTGCTCTTTAACATGCTGTTAATACTTTTGACCCTGAATATCTTCCTCCAAATTTCCGATTTTAGAATCCGGATGCTGAGCGGGAAGGGGTCTGGCAAGCCATGCAGTTCAGTCCTCGGATTTCACAGACTAAGAAACGAAGGCCAGAGTGACCACAGTCGGACGTGTAACGGCCCCGTCCTCTCCCTTATCAGCTCAGCGTGAATTTCAGGCCGACACCTGCACAACCGTTACATTTTGTCTTGCATTTGTCGCTGCGGACCAGACCAGCACTCCTACAGATTGGGTTGATAGAGCCTTTCGTACAATCTGGAAAAGGAAGGCATGCACTAATACTTCTGCAGTGCATTCACTTACAAAATTCCTTTAGAACAATGACCTGTGCACTTAGCACGTGACTCTGCATGTTTTAGAAATGTTTCACCTTCCTGAATTGAAGCTGCAGGTTGTTTAGGAGTTCTAAACGTTGCTCTATTATATATAACAAAGGACACGTGTCAACAGCCCTTTATAGAGGCAAAACGTTACTTCAGCGTCTTTTCTGGTAGATCCTGGAAGTTTTAGTTAGCAAAAATATTTTCAGGAATTAAGGTGCCTAAGGGAGTATTACAGTGCTATCCCAAATAAAATTTCCAGGTGCGTGTATTTCAAGTTTTTCTCAAAAGAACATGTTTCCTGCCTACCTACACATTATAAATAAGCCAAAACTTTTAAAGGAACTGCTTACATTCTCCTTGTAGTTCACCGTTTTGTTCTGTTTTCTTTTGGGGGGGTAGTGCCGCACAGCATGTGGGGTCTCAGTTCCCCGACCAGGGACCCAACCCTGCCCCCTGCAGTGGACGCGCGGAGTCCTAACCACTGGACCGCCAGGGGAGTCCCTACACTCTTCTTAATAGCACTGAAATCAAGGAATGGAAGATCTGAAAGGGTCTCTTAGTTTGTATTCCTAGGGAAACAAAGGAGAAAGAACCCTTAAAAAATTGAAAGCAGGAAGAAAAGGATGGGAAGAGTGCCTTTTTAAGAAATTGTGGGACTTCCCTGGTGGCGCAGTGGTTAAGAATCTGCCTGCCAATGCAGGGGACACGGGTTCGAGCCCTGGTCCGTGAGGATCCCACATGCCGCGGAGCAACTAAGCCCACGCGCCACGGCTGCTGAACCTGTGCTCTAGAGCCTGTGAGCCACAACTACTGAAGCCCGCGCGTCTACAGCCCGTGCTCTGCAACGAGAAGTCACCACAATGAGAAGCTTGCGCACCACAACGAAGAGTAGCCCCTGCTCACCGCCAACTGGAGAAAGCCCGAGCACGGCAACAAAGACCCAATGAGGCCATAAATGAAGGAATAAGAAAAAAACATATATTAAAAAAAAAGAAACTGTGGAACTTTTCTTTATTAGCTTAAAATTCTTTTGGGAATTAGTGATATAAAGGTAGAGTTCAGAACTTTTAAAATTAAGCTCTTCCCACCTAGTGTTTTGATTCTGAAAAAAAAAAAAGGCACACAAATTTGTTATTGCAGACTAAAGTTTTGTATGTACAAATGGTTTACACTGCTCTGCAGAGTCTAAAGTACTGTCCCACTACGGCCTCCTGTTGTCTGGTTCTAACAAGAATTCTGCCTTCGATCAGAACAGAAACCCAGGTCTCATACGTTCATTGCGGGGGGAGTGAATCACCATGTGACAGCTGATGAGTAGGAAACAATTTCACGTATGAAAGATTATTATTAAATGTAGGAATCTGTTCTGGGATTTACAATCCAGATTTTAAAATTTTAGAAAACAAGTTAACAGTTTTGCCAAAAAGGCATTATTCTACTACCTTATTCACTAACAGCATAATTGTAGCAACAACATATTAGTAAGTTTTTTTCTTGACTTGACTATTTAAAATAAAAGCTTGGTAAATAAAACACTAGACGTCAAGGTAGAGTGTATGCTTGGTATACGTTTGGTTACCTCCCCTCTTCTCCATGATGAAGAGAACCTGAACAGCAGTAACCTTCCCAGCAAGGGGGGCACGATCTCTCCTTCCAGCAGCCGAGGTGAGAGCATATACAGTGACAGTGTCGACCTCATAAGGCCATCCTCCCTGCACCCCAATTCAATCAGGGTGTGGACATTCAGGATCACTTGTCCAGCAGTCACCAAGGGAAAGAACCACCCTGCTGCCACACCCATGGTCCGTCCAGCGCCGGGGCCGCCACCCAGCGGAACGGGGGAAGAGAGTCTTATGAAAGTCGAGTACTGAATGAAAAAGTACATAGTTTACCCCAAACTGTTATGTTTTAAACCCCAGACAGCACTGACTTGAAAACTGTCATCTATTTTGAGTTCTTCTACTGAGCTGGTAAATAACAGTGATCAAGATTTCTCACTTCAAAACAAAAACAAAACCCTCCTTCCCCCTCAGCTTACTAGGATGTTGATGATAAACTCAAAACCACCACCTTGAATTCAGGAACAGACAGACAGAGCACCAACAGCAGGGCAGGGAAACACCCCCGGCGTCCCATCTGCCCGCCAGGCACTAGGTTCAGATCTTCTATGTGACGTATGATTTCCTTGGCTTTTGGAAACTTACTGGGTAAAATGAGACACGATGCCAGTCGGCTTCAAGCGATATTTTAGTGCCACGGCAAGGTGTCTGACAGCACATTTTGTACAGTTGCAGAAAGGAAAAAAGAAAATGCTTCTCCCACTTATTCCGCGATAAACTGCCAACAGGGGAAAAACAAGTCCAAACCTCAGACTGCAGACCCAGGGGAGAAGCACCAGCACCGGCTGCAGCCGAGCTCCGCCCACAGCACATGCGCAAGGAGACCCCCCCACCCCCAGCCTACCTTGCCGACTGGGCCGCCTCGCCTTCATCCGAGCTCAGCTCCACACCCACGGCGTCTTCTGCAGCAGGGGAAGCGGCCTGCTCGTCCTTCTTACTGTCCTGTTTGCATTTCTTCCTCCTTCGTTTTTTCTTTTTCACAGAACTGGGGGTGAAAACTGTCTCTGTTTCCAGAACGTGGGAGACGTCTGAACTCTGTGATGGTCTTTCACTTCCACCTGGTTTCACCAAAGGGGGGTCAATATCTGTAAAGAACTGATCTTCAGTAGGGATGGGTGAGGTGGCGAGGTAAGCAGGAAGCTCTTCCTTCAAGAGAATACGGAGAAAGAAAAGTTGTCAGTGACACAGTACAGTGCATCAAAACCATCACCATTTTTGGTGGATCTGAATTTCACAGCGGTAGAAAGAACACCTACCTAGTTCCCAAAGGTAAGAATGTCACACTGAGCTCAGGCACTGGCCACCCTACCTAGATAGGTCTCCACCCCCCTGCAGGGCTTAGCGTCAGCTCATGTGGGTCCACGTTGCTGAGCAGTGGAGGAATCGACGTGCCGAGTCAGCACGGAGCACGCGGAAGCTCAGCCAATGCACGTGCTGCAGGGGTGGATGAGCTCGATGTCCATCGGCGCGAGCACGGTTCAGGGAACAGCGCTGTGGTACACCCACACTAGGGACTACCGTGCAGCTAGTTAAAGGGCAAAGTTCCACCCAGAGCTCTGACCTGGCAGGGGTGCTGATGACATACAGTTAAATGACGACAGTGAGAGAAACGAAAGGTCAGTAACTGAAGTCAGGTGGGTTCGGGTAATGTTTATCCCCCTTTAAACTGGGAGCCCCTGGAGAGAGGGACTTTTCTTCATACTCTGTAGCAGAGAGCAGTAATTCCAGGGTTGTTGAATGAATTAAATTTTTTAATTTGTAAAGAAAAGCACATCATACTAAAGAAAATCCGGTCAACTTGGTCATACATGGAATAGGAAAAAAAAGGCTGGAAAGCTGACACTCTCCAGGTTGACCTTGCTAAGCACAGTGTCAAACGGAATCATGAGAACGGATGTGAGAAGCAGGCAACAGACCCTCAGGAACCTAGTCCTCTCACTGACCGCATCTGCTGATTTATTCGGAGCCTAACCAGTGTGACAGGTTACATCAAAAGTGTTTTACTCTTACGAAAACTCGCTTACTGTTTCCTTCTGCCTTTTGCCTCTGTCTCTGATGAGGGAAATTTTTCTCTAGGCCAAGTAAATGCAAATAACGTAATATAAAAACAAGTAATTAAGATACTAGGAAGAATATTGGTCTGGTAGGTTCCCCTTCATAAACACTGTTTCTTTGCTGTTTACAGAACAGTACTGATGCAGCTGGCTTCCAGGCTAAAGTAAAAACTGGTAAACAATCTCATTCTGCTATTGTTTATCTTTTCTTTGTGAATTTATGACATCAAACTGGCAGTTCATCTTCAAAACCTAAAAAGTAGCTCCGTGCCCTTAACAACTTGAAGCTTATTGTTTTTGCTGAGATTTTATTCTTTATGATGAAAGATTAACAATGCCTTCTAAGAAGTTGCTTTTTTTTTTTTTACTTTTAAAAAAAATTTATTTAGTTTTGGCTGCGTTGGGTCTTTGTCACTGCACGTGGGCTTTCTCTAGTTGCGGTGCGCGGGCTTCCTCAATGCGGCAGCTTCTCTTGTTGAGGAGCACGGTCTCTAGGCACGCAGGCTTCAGTAGTTGCGGCACGCAGGCTCAGTAGTTGTGGCTCGTGGGCTCTAGAGTGCAGGCTCGGTAGTTGTGGCGCACGGGCTTAGTTGCTCCGCGGCATGTGGGACCTTCCCGGACCAGGGATCGAACCCGTGTCCCCTGCACTGGCAGGCGGATTCTCAACCACTGCGCCCCCAGGGAAGTCCCCTTGTAAGAAGTTTTATAAAGATCCACTTTAAATCAATCAAGAACAGCTCAGGAACATTCACATCAGTGGATACGTGAGGGGAGTGGGGCAAATCGTGCTCTCTTGCTGAAAGAGGCCAAACGTGCAATAATCGTTCATAAAGGGCGGAGGACAACTAATTTAAATCTCTTGAGACTTTAATAAACGAATGCACCTGACTCTTCAAGGTTTGGGATGTAATGTCCCCAACGAAAACGTCAAAACACGTTTCCCAAATTTAAAGGTCACACGTGTACACACGCAGACACGGCCTGAAGAGATACGCCGTGATTATTCAGGTGGAACTGAGTGTATTCAGGCCAAGGTGTAAACTGTACAGACACCCCTTAATAAAGTCACTGGAAGCTCACAAGAGGGGTAAGTGCCAAGGCCTTCAGCACACCCTGCAGCCTGGAACTCGTGCGGGGAAACTTCCTGCCCCTCCAGCTCCTTTCTGACAGCCGAGTTCTCCAACCTAAAACTAAAGCTTGTCTAACCAGCAACAGTCATCCACACAGCTCACCATGAAAACTAAACGTTCTGCTCTGGGATGTGCACCGTGGGCCTGACACAACGTGTGAAGTGGATGTGACCCACCAGGACTTACATACTCCTCTTCGGTTTCCTCCACAAAGAAAGCCTCCCCGTTGTCACCCAATTTCATGTGAAGATCCACTGCATCGCCATTGATTTCTATGTCGATCTACGAGGAGAAACAAAGTGTGACTTGGCGTTAAGAGTCTGTCATTCAAGCTCAACTAAGCCTAGATTCTGGGCTCTCAGGCCAAACGTAGTACTGAGGCTCCCAGGGTGACGGCCCCAGAGAGACCCCACCTCCTGCCCCACGTCCCACCCCTACACCACCAGACTGAAAGTAAACGTTCCATCACCTACTTTCATGACAAATTTTTAAAATATATTTAATTTCTCAAACGTCATAAAATGGGGGAAATGTCATCGTCAACACACACTTGAGCCCCTCTGGAGGTTACAGCACAGCCAGGCCTCACCGTGCGAGGCTCAGATCAGCAGAAATCTCAGTTACCACAGTATGCTGACTGCGGAACTGCAGGAGCGGCACATGTTTCACCACCAGCTCTTCCATCCACAGGTCCCCACAGCCATCCTGCGGTGTCCGCAGGGGGTTGGCTCCAGGATCCTCCTCAGATACTCAAATCCACTCATGCCCAAGTCCCTTACATATAAAAGGGTGTAGCATTTGCATATAACCTCCACACATCCTCCTGTGTACTTTAGATCATCTCTAGATTACTTATAATACCTAATACAACATAAATGTTATGTAAATGCTTGCCAGCATGCAGCAAATTCAAGTTTTGCTTTGGGAATTTCCTGGAAAAATTTTTTTCCACATATTTTTGATCCGAGGTTGGGTGAATCCTTGGATGCAGAACCCATGGATACAGAAGAGCGACTGCACGTACATAAGAGATGCCCATCACGATCAGTAACTCATCACGTCACTTTTTCAAAGTCTGTCGGTGACCAGTCCCAGCACATCTGTTACTCAGCTCAGACACAGGCGGCAAAGCATGTGGTTGTGTTGCCTCCTGGTCTCCCAGTGATAAAGCCAGTTGACATTTTATACAATGGATCATTGAAAGAGGCAACTGGCCGAGATCAGAGAGCAGTAAACAAACAAACAGTACTAGTGCTGGAAGCAAAATCAAACTCAACGTCAGCAGTTACAGAAGAAAGAGCCGACCTTGCGAACAGGAGACTCAGGATGAGCTGCCAGAGGAACCTGGAGGTGAGTTTCTACCAGAAAGGAGGAACATGGCTGAGACAAAAGGATGAAGACCCACAGGAAGGGACACAGGCAGAAACCTGCAGGTCGAAGCAACTCCCAGAGATACTTCATGACATGGGAATTTCAAAGGATGAAAAGCTAGAAGCTGATGCAGACTTAGAAAGGAGTAGGACAATTTACCAAGACAAAGAAAAGATGCTTGTTCCATAGCGTGTTACATCAAGAAGGTAAGCCCTGTTCAAACTACTCCTGACGAGTTTTTTACAAAGAAATTTAGTTCTCATTGTTTCTAATGTTTTAAATTGCAGTGCACAAAACACCATTTTACTATTTTTCATTTTCTTATATATTTATAACTAAGAGTAGGAGTTTTTAAAAGTTTTGACCAAAGCTTACAGAGGTCGTGGAAGAATCCTAATTTCCCTCATCGACTAAGCTTCCTTTTGCAGGGTTTCAGCTTGCCCATTTTTATGGTCTGTACTACCATGCAAAGTGAGGAATGTTTGTTTTTATATACACACACACACACACATATATACATATATATATACACATACACATATATATATCAGGTACTACCATATCACTTAAAAATAATGTAACTGCTTATCTGTAAGCTGTGAATAAATACTCTTAAATATTTTACAAAAATAAATACCAACTTTCAAAATTCTTACGGATAACTTGTAAACTCTGGTTTTAGACTGTTCAGGGGATACAAAGATGAACACACAAAGGCATAATATAGACAGAAGTAGAACAGTCCATAACCTCAGTGTCCTTAGCTCTGCATGGCCCTCGTGGTGCGAACAACTGTAGAGTCTGCTGGGTGTGTCCCAAGGAAGACCAACGACTGCTTCTGACCAGAGACTGAGCCCTGGTTCACGTCCAGTCATGGAAGGCAGCTCCATCTTCCCAGGAGCCACGGAATAAGTAACATCATATTAAAAAATATTAGTTGACATATGCTGTCAAGGCTTGTTTTGAAAATTCTACGTATGAATAACATAACCACACTGAAGGGAAGAAGAAGAAAACTAAGTAACTTTGAAAAACGGTATGTTGACTACAGAATTCTAAGTCCGAAGACAAAAAGAACTATAAACAAATATTGTGCTGTAGTTAGTAATTTTTTTTTTTTTTTTTTTTTTTTGTTTGGTACGTGGGCCTCTCACTGTTGTGGCCTCTCCCATTGCAGAGCACAGGCTCCGGACGCGCAGGCTCAGCGGCCATGGCTCACGGGCCCAGCTGCTCCATGGCACGTGGGATCTTCCCGGACCGGGGCACGAACCCGTGTCCCCTGCATCGGCAGGCGGACTCTCAACCACTGCGCCACCAGGGAAGCCCAGTAATTTTTTTTTTAATCACAGACATGGGTCAGCAATTCTGAAACTACTTTATGTGTATTCTAGTACTGAACAAATACGTGAATATACTGTAGATAATGAGAAGCATGTTTCTCACCGTCAGAGAAAGAAGCTACAAATATGGAGACGAGGAAGAACCCTGTGGCGATCGGCTGGAGAGGGAGGAATCACTGTGAACTCCCGATTTTCAGACGGACGCAGATGCAGGTGTGGGCACGTGTATGTATATACATACATGGACTTTCTAGCTCTGGGGGCTGAGAGGGCCTACAAGCAATTATACCTCAGGCTAATGAGCGCATCCAGTGACCACGTCTTTGTTTCCAGATACTGTTCTCCAGTAACAGGAACCAAGGCTCCTTGGAGAAATAAAAATAATTCTGGGGCCGAGGCAGGGAAAGTAGAGTCTCCTGGAGTATCTTATGGTGCCAGAGAGTAAGGAAGTGCTCAAAAAATGATGGGAGCGTTTCGAAAGGACTCAACTGGAAGGGGCATCCAACAGCCAAATCTGGGACAATCTCAGCAACTACAGAAATAATGACTATAACCCACAGGGCAAAATTAATATCCGTGAGTCCATACTGATCTAATTAAATAACTGAATAATTAAGTAGATAAGAGAAGAAAAGCTCTTTGACAAAGTACAGTTTCAATTAATAATTGGAGCAGGAAGAATGGAAATAGAAAGTCACCATTCGGGAAACACCACAGCAATAGCCGCTGCAAAGTCCACCGTGTAAAAGCTAAAATTCATGGTGGAAGCACGACAAGAAACAGGGTATGCGCACAGTCTCAACGCTTCTTCCCACAGGTAAACTCACAGCCAAGAAACCTCGCAGACACCATTCAGCAAGTGATCAGAGTTAACATCACCAGGAAGGAGACAGCAGCAGGGCGGGGCTCCTCAGCGGAGGCACCAGGAAGGGCACACCCCCGCGCAGCGTTATTCTCACCAAAAGGAGAAAACACCAGACAAATTCACACTGAGGGACAATCTACACTGTAACTGTGCTGTACTCTTCAGAAGTCAAGGTTGTATGGAAAGACCTTGACAGAAGTCAAGGTCATATGCCAGAGAAGACAGGGTGAGAGCAACACGGGATCCCGAAACAGAAGACAGTAGTGGAAAAACTGGTGAAATCGTAATAAGGTCTTTTCCTAATGGTTTATACTGATGTTAATTTCCCGGTTCTGATCATTGTAACTATGGTTTTGTGAAACGTGAACATTAGGGGAAGAGGTTGGGTGAAGGATTATGGAAACTTTTAAAACTGCATTTGCAATTTGTCTGTACATCTAAAATTAACATAAGCTAAAAAAATGTGAAAATCATAAAAAACAAAGACTGAGGAACTGTCACGGAGTGGAGGAAACTAAGAAGACAGGACAACGAAACACTCCGTATCTTGATGGTGGTGATGGTTTCATGGGTGCACACGCATGTTTAAACTTACCAAATATATCCTTTGAATATGTGCAGTTTATTGTGTGTTAATTATAAAATAAAGCTGTAAAAAAAAAAAGGATAACACTATAAAAGGAAATCAGAAAAACAGGCAACTAAGAATTGAATACAAAATAAGTTTAAAATCCTATACTAAAAAATCCCTATGTAATTTCAGAAATGTTAATAAAATGATTATTTTACAAAAAACTCATTTTTCTTCTACTTTTTAAAAGAAAGGGCTGCATGAAGCAGTTTCCATAGGACAAACACTAACCCTAACTCATATCCCAGCCAGCCTTCTTAGTGCTTTCTATTACTGGGAACATTTACTGCTAAAAAAGTTGTGTATGGCATGAACTCCTAACTCTTCTAAAACAAAGTACTGCCAGAAATTCCCAGGCTGAAGAAAAACACGCTTTCAGATAAGTGTTTAAGCTTTTTCTTCATAATAAACTAGTTGAAGTCACATAGCATCTCGCATCATCTAAGGTTTCTAAAGCAGCTGTAATAATAGCAGCTTCTTCCACAATCATAGGAAGAATGTTTCTAACTGAAAAAGTTATGTGGGAACAGAAAAAGTAATGAAAAAAATTTTTTTTCTGGACTATAGGCAAGAAGATAGGGAAAAACTAAATTCACTCTGTAATGCCAGATTTCAAGTTTCTCAGGATGACTTAATTACATTTTTTCAACTAGAAGTTAGACATATAAAATAATTTAAATAGCCATGTTCGTTGACTTGCTGTTATATAAAATTTTAAAGTTAAACAGTACAAATGAAATATTTAAAGTTATTTTACTTTAATAAAAAATAAAAGATTCAAACTAATATCGTCCTTCAAAATTTTCACCTCTGCAGGTTACCCATTTATCTAATGTAGCTGGGAAAACGGAATGACGCTTCATTAGGATGCAAATTCAAAGTCTGTTTTATAACTATTTTAGAAAAGTTAACCCTTTGGTTTATATTTATAGCCCGTATTTTTAGGGATCAAATACGACATTTCTTAATACGACTACTTTAGTCTCTTGATTTGACTCTCAATGGAGCTTGGTTCTCTCCAAAAATTAAACCTAATATCAAATTGTGCCAATACGGAGCATACTTAAAGGAATGTGTATGCCATGAGTTCTTTAGGTCGCAAAGGAAAAACACTAAAAATATTCTGAGATGGCACCAAGCTGGAATAAATGCTTCCCGAGGTGACGACTGTAAAGAGGACACTCATTTTGATGTTACTACTTCTGGTAAACTGGTTTCTAAAACACTCATTTCCATATAGTCATACTTCCTACACTGTGCCTTAATCTTGCTCAACATATGTGACAGATGTTGAAACAGAACTGATTTTGAGAAATGCTGGCTGTAGCAGACACTCGTCTTGGCAGGCCATCCTTTGGGTAAGAATGTCTCTGGTCTCCTTTGGGGATCTAGTCTCCTCTATTCCAGGCCATCTATTTCCGGTGCAGCTGCAGAGAGTGGCAGTGGGGCTGCTGCCCAAGCCAGGCCAGTCAACATATTCCACCCCCACCTACAGTGACTAGTTCCCGAGACACGCGACCCCAGGCTGACAGGGCGGCTAACACTGGTCCTTCTGTAGGCAGGAGACGCTGTCTTCCCTCTGGGAAGTCAGTGGAAGTCAGCCTGAAGATACTGGCAGCCATCTTGCATGAGACAGACAGACACAAAAGGAAGCAGAGCTGAGAGGTGAGGGGAGACGGTCCTGTCAACACCTTCAGAGGCCCTAAGGAAAGCCCTGACTCGTTCAAACACCCGCGTACTTTACTTCCACAAGCCAATTTAATTCCTTTTCTGCCTAAGCTAGTGTGAGGTGGATCTCTGTCATCCACAATGGAAACTGTCCTAATACACTGGGTTATTTAACTTTGATAAGTAATTAAATCATCAGTTGTGTTAAATCAACAAAATTAGTATCTAAAAATATCAAGTGCAGGTTTACCTTCTGAAATTCAACTGCTGAGTTATGAACTATACAGGGAGTACTGTGTTCTATCAAACAAGAACATAGCAATGGCAGTGGGAAAATTATTATATTGCATCTTTCTAACCAGAGGTTTTAAGGTGGTTATGATTTCAAGTCCACTTCATAGGTGTCCCCATATTTGAAAACTGGGTTCTTAATTTAAAGTCAATGGACAGCTTTCCCTAATCCAGAATGACCTAAAATAACACCAACAGTTCATCCGAACTGCCAGAGTGTCTCAGGGCAGACATGGTTTTGGTTTTACTGTCACAGGAATGCTACGCTTTGGTTCAAATAGCCGAATTTCCTCCCAAATATATCCTCTGGGTCTCTGGGCTACCAAGGGAAAGAACTTTTCTCTTTTCCTGGGTCTCACTGGATAGACTTCTACTAAAAGTTAAGGGTTTGACAAGATATTGAGCACAATGATTTGCGTAGCCTCATACAGCAACTGTCTACTTTCTTAATTAGAAGCATACAGCATGCAGAAAGAGAGCTCTTATCTGCCCAGTCGCATTTACAGATGCACAAATGCTTATATACATCAGCCTGCGGGTTCCAGTTTGAAGGCCAGAAGACTTATCCAATCTGCTGATCAAAAACCCAGATCATAGATGGGAAAGGGGCGGCGGGGTGCGGAAGGCTTGTAAGCCATTTTACAAATAGATCCTGGCACAATTAATGGGACGTTTCAGTGCATAAACAGTTTGTTGCTGATGCTTCCAAAGCAGATACGGTCTAAAGTACTACAGGTCAGTGTTACCAGAAGAAAGAAAAAATTCTGGAGAAGCTAAATTGTGGCTGAACACTGTTTTGCAATGGAAAGTTTCCAACTCACTCAGTACATCACCACTGCTTTTGGTTTCCGAAGTGACTCTGAACAGAGGCCAGACCACACAAGCCCTGCCACCCTGAAACATGGCTCTCCAGTCACTTTCAAAATAACATAAGTTCAATTAAAATAGAGGGAAATGTCTATTTTAAAGAATAAGATCAGGGACTTCCCTGGTGGCCTGGTGGTTAAGAATCCGCCTGCCAATGCAGGGGACACAGGTTCGAGCGCTGGTCTGGGAAGATCCCACATGCCGTGGAGCAACTAAGCCCGTGCGCCAGAACTACTGAGTCTGCGCTCTAGAGCCTGCGCGCCACAACTACTGAAACCTGCGCGCCACAACTACTGAAGCCTGCGCACCTAGAGTCTGTGCTCTGCAGTAAGAGAAGCCATCGCAATGAGAAGCCTGCACACTGCAACGAAAAATAGCCCCCGCTCGCTGCAACTAGAGAAAGCGCGCGCACAGCACTGAAGGCCCAACGCAGCCAAAAAAAAAAAAAAAAAAAAAAAAAAAGAATAGGATCAGCTATGTTATTAGCTGAAATCTGAAAACAGATGTTTTCAACTTAGGACAATGGTCCTCTAACACATACTTCTGTGCTACAAAACGGTGTGGATTCTTTCACTGCGCTTGAAAATCCTGACAACATCTCCTTATGCTGCTTAAGTAGATACTGTGGGACAGGAGTAGAAAGAAAAATACTACTATGTACCCGCGAAGTTTACTGTTAGCTCAGCTTTTTCTAACATATTGATATCAGATCAGGTATACTAACAGACTTTCCAAGTGCTCCATAACCTGAAGGAAAGAGGATGTAAAAAAAAACAAAAAAAAACCCAACACAAATACCTTCTTTCTGAAAGAATCTTCCCTGAAATAAATAAAAGCCTGTGGATTTTCATTTCAGTCAGATTTGGGAAAAAGTACTGGTGTTTACAATAAACTTTAGATTACAAGTAAGATTTTACAGCTTTGTCAAAATAAACGCACAAATTTGGCATTAATGTATTTCATTTAGACACAGGTACTCTTGAGCATGCCTATCCATTCCATTCACAACTGGTCTGAAGGCATTACATTAAATATTTTAAAGTGCTGTAAAAGGTAGAGGAACTTTTTCTAAATACACCTGATTTCCCCATTTACAATTCTAGTTTCTGTTTTGATTTTCTGAGTTGCAACATATAGGATTATTAAGATGATGTTCACCTCTTTTTCCCCCTAGACTTCCTGTAACAGGGCTTTTTGAATTTAGAAGCAACTTCAAAAACAGTACTAAAGACAGACTTCCCATACTGCTGTCTTCAAAAGCATATGGGTTTTCAAAACAGAAACACACACACAGAGGTCCCGAGAGCTCACAGGAACGGTTTACTCTGCCCCACCCCCACCCCCGGCGTCTCATCCTCCTGGAGGACAGGAGGCCCGCACTCACCACTTTCTCTTTGGACCGCAGGACGCCCAGCTTCCCGAAGCGCACGTGGAAGGGCGAGCACTGGTAGGAGCCGTCCTGCTGCCGCACCACCACGACATCGATGCAGCCGGACAGTGTGGCCTGGTTAATGCCCTTGTAGAGCTCCTTCACAGTGACAATCACCTGCCCGGCCAGCTGCCCCACGTAATTCATGGTTTGAGACTATAAAAGACAAGAAAAAAAAGCGGATGAGATGTTAACGCTGAGTTTGTGGGTCTAATGACAGCGACAGAGAAAAGACCGCAGGGCCTAAAACTACATGGCTCGTCCGTACTCCAGACTGTGATTAGCCCTGCACACGCTGGGCCCCTGCGACTCAGGCTGATGCGCCCGCTTCACACTTCCATGTGTCGGCAGCCCCACACCGTCCGTCCGCCTTGCTGCTGACAGGCAGCCCAGCCGGGCATGCAGAAGTCCCCTTTCCCTTTCCAGCATCGCAGATCGGGCCTGCTGCCACTAGGCGTTCCCCGCAAAGTTCAGAACCCACAGAGACCCCCAAAGAGCCCCGACTGCCACACGGCCCTCCTGCCCAAGACAACTGGGGACCTGGGGAAAGTGCATCCACTCCGACCAAGCAGCTAAGCAGAGAAGTGACTGAAGATCACCCCATCACCCCCAAGAGGAACCTGAAATCACGCAGCTCCTGTTGGAAGGTAAGTGAGAGATGGGTTTTCTACGGAATTAATCGACTATGGTTCAGAGACACGCTAGATTAACAAACAAACTGGTGAGCTAGGCCGGGTCTAAGCAATTTATAACAGTACTTTGAAGGAAAATCCCTTCAGTGCTTCAACACAACTCACTAGAACATATATTCACGTCCCACAAAGTTCAAAGCACAGAAAAGGGTTTTAATCTTGGACCTTAACTGCAATGCACTATTCAAATCAGGGTCACCAGACTGTAAAGGGTCCTCCAGAAGGGGTCAAAAAGGCGGCAAGGGTACCCAACCGGGGCGCAGGGCCACCACACGCTTCATCTGGCCACAGGATGGGGGGCTGTGCCCCCAACTCTTCATTCGTTAGGAAAAAATAGCCACACTTTAGTCCTAGGGCTGTCAAATTTATCCATACGACCACAGTTCTCTCATTAGACACTGGCTCTCCTGGCAGAGTGTTAAAGCACAACTGAGCACAACTCATTCTCCTGAGGACAGGAGGGATGCAGATGGAACCAGAGACCCCCCACAGCTCTGCTCATCCGGAAGCCGACTTCCACCCAACCAGAGACCCGACAGCCTATTCTGCAGGGTATTCACCATAAGCACGGCTGTCTTTCTAAACCCAGATCAAAAGCCTTTGAGCTACCTGGAGTTCAAAGTTACATGCTCAAAAAAGTCCCCAGAGGGCACATTCTACGCTGTCAGGTAAGTCCAAAGCTGAACTAGAAGAATGCCATCCACGGGACAACCCAGGGACCTGCCAGCACCCCTGCTGCAGAAAAACCCACTGCTCTTCACAGGAGAGCCAGCACCCACGGGCAGTGCCCGGATTTCCTGCTCTTATACCCAGTAATCAAGGCCCATCAGTTTAATGCCATGGAGCAGAGCCACAATAACTTTACCCTGGAAAACGTTTTGAATATTTTAAAGCTAATGCTACCAAGGCTCCAAAACGCACTTACAGACAGAGCTGGCTTTGAGGATGTAAACCAGCTGCAAAACGTACCAATAAACAGCAGGATACAGCGGCAGGCGTCCTTTATGAGGCAAATTCTAAAACAGCTACAAGCTGGTATGATTTCAGGTCTACAATAATTGATTTGAACTCTATAGTAAGGCCAAATTAAGCACGTATCAAGCGCACAATAATGATTTCTTAAATATTCATGGGATGAATGGTCAAACGAACCATCAACAAAAGAGAATAAAAAAGAAACGTGCAGGAGTGTTTTATCAGAATATTCGCATTACATCTCATATTCTAAAAATTAACCTTGTATTGTGATAATTGTGGATTCACATACATGTAGTTGTAACTAATAATACAAAGAGATCCCACGTATACTTTACCCAGTTTCCCCCAATGGTAACATCTGGCAAAATTCTAGTGCAGTAGCTCAACTGGGTATCAACTCTGATTCAGTTAAGATTCAGAACATTTCCATCGTCACAAAGACCTGTCCTATTGGCCTTTTATAGTCACACACACACCTACTTGCCTTCTGTCTGCCCTCCCCCCCTTAATCCCTGGCAACCACTAATCTGTTCTTCATTTCTGAGATTTTTGCCATTTTTAAGGAGGTTATACAAATGGAATCACACAGTATCTAACCTTTTGGGACTGCCTTTTCCCACTCATATTTCTATGGAGATTCATCCAGGTTGGTGCATGTATCAACAGTTTGTTCCCCTTTATTGATGCCTAGTAGTTCATGGTGTGGATACACCATAGTTTAACCATTCACTTGTGAGGAACAGTTGAGCTATTTCAGATTTTTTGGCTATCACAAAGAAAACTGCGATAAGCATTCACGTACAGGTTTTTGTGTGAAAATAAGTTTTCAGTTGACTAGGGTAAAATGCCCAGGAATGTGACTGCTGGGCTGAATGGGAATCGCATGCTTAGTTTTTAAAGACACTGCCACCAGAGTTGCTGTACCATTCTCCACTCCGGCCAGCAATGTCTGAGAGATACAGTGTCTCTGCATCCCTGGCCAGCACTTGGCATTGTCACTACTTTTTATTATAGCCATGATGACAGGTATGCAGTGATACTGGTTTTAATTTGCATTTACCTAATGGCTAATGATGCGGAAAATTAAATTTTGTTTTATAAAAGAGCACTACAACTAACTTAGAGGAAAAGGGAATAAACATCTTTTTGTTCCTTATTTTTGGGGTCACGGTGTACAATTTTTGTATGTTAAGAATGTCTCCAAAAACAGAAGTGAAATGAAATTTAGTCCTAAGTAGTTCATCTTTTCATTCTCTTTTAGTATTTTTCAGCAACCTAGAACAGTCCATCAGAATTTTTATATTCTGTAAGTAACATGTGTTCACAACACCCTTTTTGCCTGTCATAGCAAACAGCACCCACGTAATCAATCTTTGTATTATGCTTGACTGATGATGGCAGCAATTTTAAAATGAATTTCGTTACAAATCTAAAAAAAAAATTCCTAACAAATTATATAGGGCTTTTCTTAAAAGAAACTGAAAAATGATAACTTAAGCATCTACATTCAGCCATAAACAACAGTCTTATAAACTAAATGTGTCATAAGCTTACATCAATTAGAGGACAGAATCCATAATTAAGTGTAACTACATCTATTCGAGATGATTTTAATTACCATGGTCAAAGGATATGCCGCTATACAAGAAAGTCTATTGTGTAAATGCCAGTTGCTAAATGTAGAAAAACACAGGCTGTCACATCACTGGTTTTCTCTCAGCAGATATAAAACAACCCTGTTCATATCACGAAGGCTGGGAAAACAAAGTAAAGGGAGGCCTGGTGCCTCCACAGCGGGGACAAGGGGCACCCTATCCAGGCTGGGGAAAGAGCTGGGTAAACAGCTTCCTCTTTAAGCCAAATCTTGCACCTAACTCTTTACTTCTACACGACCAGCCCAGCAGGAGCCACGATAGAGCCCAGTGAGAAAAGAGTCAGGCCCCTGACACCAGTCTGTCCCCGTCAACACCTAGGGAAGCGGGACTCTGAACAGGGGCAGAAAAGACAGAGGATGAAGTAACCCACTCACATGTGGGGGACACCCCCACTGAAGACACTGGCTTTTGAAATAAAGATTTAAAAATACAGCAAAATTATATACATCGTAAACTATTCATCACGTTTTATGATCAGTGAATGATGAGGGAAAAAAAGAGGGGGAAATGAATTCAAGAACAGAGTGACAGAAGACACATGAAAATTCAGAAACAAGACAAAGACAGCAACTAATGTAAACATGCACACACAGAAGGAGCAACGTGTGCCTGAAGGATGCCCACAGAGCCGCATCCCTGTCCCCAGGCTCAAAGGCACAAAGGAAAATATTAAAATGCACTTACTGATTCTCAGAACTGGAAAAAGTTATCCAGTCCTGTCTTTCAACAAATACCAAAAACACTTTTATCACATCTCTGAAATACGGTAATGTTAACAATCATCACAATTTTTTGAGACCTCACTATGTACCAAATTCTCAAGCTTATACATGCACTATCATCTCAGGACCACTTTATAGGTGGTTACAGGTATATGTTTAAGATAATGAAACTGAGGCTTGGAAAGGTGAAGTATTGTTATGGACTGAGTGTGCACCCCGCCCCCCAAATTCCTATGTTGAAGCCCTAACCCCTCGTGTGACAGTATTTGGAGGTGGGATGTCTGGGAGGTAATTAGGCTTAGACAAGATCATGCGGGTGGGGCCGCATGATGAGATCGATGCCCTTAATAAAGGGGGGGGGAGGGGCTTCCCTGGTGGCACAGTGGTTGAGAGTCCGCCTGCCGATGCGGGGGACATGGGTTCGTGCCCCGGTCCGGGAAGATCCCACATGCCGCGGAGCGGCTGGGCCCATGAGCCATGGCCGCTGAGCCTACGCGTCCGGAGCCTGTGCTCCGCAACGGGAGAGGCCACAACAGTGAGAGGCCCACGTACCGCAAAAAAATAAAATAAAATAAAATAAATAAAGAGATGAGGAGACAAGAGCATGGTCCTCACCACGTGGGGATACAGTGAGAAGGCGGCTGTCTGCAAGCCAGGGAGAGGGCCCTCACTGGGAACTGAATTGGCCAGTACCTTGATCTTGGTCTTCCCCACCTCCAAAACTGTGAGAAAATCCTTGTTGTTTAAACCACCCAGTCTGTGGTATTTTGTTATAGCAGCCTGAGCTGCTGAAGACAAGTATCTTCTTAAGCATCATATGCTACACTGCTTTTCAATTCTGGGATACTTCCAGTAGACAGAGACTCACCCCTTTCATGAGGAGGCTTATCCCAATACCAGACAGACAGCCCTGGTTACTAGGTCCACCAGAAATCCCACTGCATATGTACCACCCTCTTCTAAAGGACACCACCACACACCAAAGAGTTTACTGTACAACCCAACTGGGTGTCATCTATTCTGAGATAAGCATTCTTAGTCCTTAAAATAGCTGAAATGACTGGGTTTACTTTCACTTTTATGACAAACTAGAGAACTGACTTCCTTTA